AATTTTATCTTAATGAAATGCCTGCATATATTATTTATTGTAAGTTTTTAAATGTGGAATTTTTAATGCTTAATATCTTTTATATATTACAAATCCTAGAGGGTGTGTACATCTCACTGTAAAGGAATTGGTTTAAAAAGTGTAATTTTCTCAATTACAACACGGAAAAACCTGTTCAAGTGAATTTGCTGTAGATTGCTTTTAGAATATTATTTTTTCAAAGGGTACAGACCTTTTTATTGCCATGCTGTAAAAATGAAGTAAAAGCTGGCCTGGGCATTTGCGTCCCACCCAATGAGTGGATGAGACTTACCTCTCTGTCTGCTTTGGCTCCAGAGTCTCTCGCACAGTAACTCAATGAGCTCTGAAGAGGAATTAAAAGGTACATTGTCAGATTATATATTTTATATAACAGATTTAGGTAATTGTGTGTGTGAATATGTGTACATATAATTGTGTGCCGCTACTGATGGTGCAGCTTCTGTTTTAGGAATAAAGTGCGTCTACCTTATCATCTTTGTTCTTGCCTTTCTTAAAAGTTTTTTTTTTTTTTTTTTTTAAAGCTTTGGGTAGATACATATTTCTCAAGTGTTGCATGTCCATAAACGCTTTTTAGAAACAAAACAGGAAAGGATGAGATACGAGTTTTATGGCCCAATCTCCGAGAACACTTCTTCCTACACCTCCCATAATGCAACTTGGTAGCATGGTCAAAGGGAATGGTTTCATGTGGAAAATTTAGACAAAATAAGTGCATGTAAAGTTCAGATTGAGTAAACCAGAAAATCTCAATCAAAATCCTGAGTGAAACATACAGTTAAGTACTTGTGTCCCAGTTCCATCCTACATACTAATTGTACACAGTATGCACTGTAATATAGTACTGTTGTTAGTGTAAAGTTAGTGTACAAGAGCTCAACGTTCTTTAGTTTTACTCCAAAAAGAAATAATGCAGTACATGAACTGTCACGTCAAACAAAAGTCAACTCTAAAAAGCCACAACCAAAAATAAAGCCACCAATTACACTTCACAAACCAAAATATGCGGTGTAGAGTAACTAAGTACATTTACTCAAGTACTTTGAGTATTTCCACTGACTGCTACTTATGCTTCTCTATTATAGGTTCAATGAATTACTGTAGTTTTTACTCCACTGCATTTATTTGATAATCCACTTTGCAGATTTATTTTATTAATACAAAATCTAATCAACAAATAAATGTATTATTATACTTTAAAGAAAACAAAACTTAATTTATCCCTGAAAAGGAGAAATCCACAAGCTATCCAGCAGTAAATAAAGTAGCTAAAATTAACTCCACCTTTATCAATAATTATAATCGTACAGACAGTACAGACAGTATTCTGAAATAAGCACTGCTACTTTTGGTACTTTAAGTAAAATATCTGAGTACTTCCTCCACCATTGATAAAAATAAAAATGTCTGTAAAGATTTAAAATACTTTTTTGCAGTTGTGAATAGCGCAGAAATACAGCATTGTATAGAAATGAGACAGAGCTCATGTCTTTCAAATTTTAATGACCCTGCTTTGTAACAGACTCTGTTAAAAATGCATCTCAATTACTCAAATTATGTCAGTTAAGTAATTTTCTCAAGGTGCCAAATTCCCTCTAGAATTCAGTGAATGCTACGGAATTGACTTTTACATGTAAAATCAGTGATGATGATGCATCCTTTAACTTCCCAGATGCTCCAGCCTCATGTGAGTTATATCCTGAATTATACAGATGTATAAAAACTGCACAAGACAGAATTTTTCATTTGACATAAGAATGCAGCATGACACTTTGGACACAGACATGACACAAGTTACGTTGTGTAAGAGTCATTTCCAATGAGCTACAACAATAAACACATACAGATACTGTCAGACTCTGACAAAAGAAAACATTCATCACAATTTTAAAAAGGTACTTACAAGGAATAATGGCGACAAAAGGCTGATGTGGTTAACTACACCTGGTTCTGTAAACAGGACGGCCCTGTGCTGGCATTCAACCTGCAGAAAGAAAACATCATCACTTTTCTTTTCTTACCAATTCATATTTGCAGCGTCATACTAGAAGCAGGATCATCATGAAGGCGGTTGGACCTTCACTTGTTTACCTTGACCAACACTGGATTATTGAGCCATGTCAGATGTCTGACAGTTAAAATATATGATAATGATATGACCACAATATGTACAGCATGGGACATTTTACAGATGGAAAATAAACTGTCAGTGCTCTCTAGTGGACAAAGTAATAGCAACATGTTTCTGAATAATCTAAAATATATCTTTTGTATTTCTGTGCTGCAATTTCTTATTATTAATCAGCCAACATATAATGTACACCTACACATATATATTTGCAATAAGCTAATACAGACTACTAATAACAGCGTGGTGGATTTATTAGCAGGACTTCAGTCATTTGTAATTAGGAAATTAGGAATTTCAGATACTAGAAGAACATTTCAACAGCTGTGAATGAATAAAATTAGTCTACAGTAATGTACACTTTAGCTCCTTGCTAAAGAAGCTGCTTTAAGCTTTCTAATGAGTCTTAGCATATGAGTGAGTTGTAGGTTATAAAGGGTAATGGTTTGTGGCCAGTGTACACCGTTCCTCGATGGAGGCCCGTACTAACAGGATTTGGATGGTTAGTGAGAATGGAATTAGCTAATCAAGGAGAACATGTCATCCCAAAGCTTCATCCAATCACCGTCTTATGTTCTGCTTAATGGGATCCAATTGAAGGGTAGCCCAGTTTGTCTAGGGCCATTCAGGACAATTAGCCTGAGCCAGTTCGCACAATTCAAAGAATGTGTGTCAGTATTTAGAAGCATTTCATCAGGGAACCAAACATAAAAGCTATACTGGGAGCTGAAGTGTTTGGAGCCAGCAGACGGATTTGCTTCCTCTGTGCTTCACAGTGACCTTACATGCTGCTTTGTGGCTGAAACATCAACTTCCTGTTTTTCAAAGAGCAGCCTTTGCAAGTGGTTCATTTTGACAGTTGACATAAACGAGTGAAATAAGTAGTTCTAGAAAAAAAAAAAATAGTTTGATCCTTAAGAAACTAAAAGGTGAGCCCTAAATGTTGTTGATGCTCCTCATAATAAGCAATACGTACTGCATCTACCATCTGTTTTCCATGTGAGACATGAGCACATGCAATCTATGAAAATAAATCTCCCCTTGAAACAATAAAGGATAATTATCTGCCCTGCCTTTAGATGAAATATCAGTTGTCAGGGAGGTGAACTGCTGACTGTTTTAAAGTATTTTATTCATATTTTATCAACCTCTTATTTATTTGTACAAACCAAAGGGAAAGGCTTTATATTCACTGATTTAAACATCGAGTAGTTTTTATTTAGGGTGTGAGCACAGAGTATATTCAAGTTTTTTTCTTAACTTTGTCATACTGTACTTGTGTGCAACAAACCATTAACTATGTCCTAGTTCCCTACGACATATGAATTGTAAGCTGGTTTTCAGGATGTTGTGTATTCACACTGAAACAGTGACAAAATAAAGTATACTCAAAAAAGTCAGTGACCACAGTAAAAAAAGCTCTTGGAAAACAAACAAAAAAATATTAAAATTCTTTAGAAAGAGAGTGGAATTTTAAAGTCGCTTTCTGATTGTTATTGTTGTTGCTATTATTGTATCGTTTCCTGTAAGTACAATACCATAAAGTATGATGAATTCTTGTTGCTAATTGAAAAAACAGTTAAATATATAATGTACACAGTTAATATGTATTATAGAACATTATTCCAAATGTATTAAAACTGTAAAGGGAATTATATAATAACTGTAGAGATTGTGTGAAAATTATTAATTTATATAATTTAATGGAACGTTTATGAAAATGCATTAAAAATACAGACTAAACAATGATGAATAAATTCCTGTTGTATGAGGTCTGCCATTCTTTTTTTCATTTTGACTGTAATTTCAGAGCTGCTTAAAGAGACCTGATATTAGGGCTGCAACTAATGATTATTTCCATTATCAATTAATCTGCCAGTTATTTCCTCAAAAAACCAATTGTCTATAAAATGTTAGAAAATAGTGAAAAACTCATCTCAGTTTCTCAAAGTCCAAAATCCAAAACAATTCAGTTTACTGTGACAAAAAACCTTTTTTTTTGGCATTTTTGCTTAAAAAATTTGTTAAACAATAAACAAAATAGTTGCATCTTAATTTTCTGACAATTGACTTATCGATTAATCAACTAATACCGATATGTCAAAAAACTTAAGATAGGTAAATCTCAATTTACAAGCTCAAAGTGCAACAAGACAGACAGCACAACATTCAACACAGCATGATAATGATAAATACTAAATATATTATTAATATAAAATATGAAATAAATAGAATATAAAATGTGAAAGGTCAAATAACCTAAACTTAAACTTAAATACCTAAAAAACAAACAAAAAACTAAATCATTACAAAGACAACTATGAATTAAAAACAACACACATATTTAAGAGCCAGAGCTGATTACTTAAAGCAGACTTGAATGTAACATTACACACAATGTTTGGATACATTAGCAGAGCATTGCCACTGATCCCACATGTGTAAGTTGCACATTATATGGTGACATACTTATTCATTTCGATGTCATATTTTCAATGTCTCTCCAGCGTCGGTTTTTGAAAATGCCCTCCTGTTGCCACATACTGTAAGCTGTCTTTCTCTAAACTGAATCAGAAAGGTTTAGGGGGCTGATGGGATTAGTTTAAGCCATTAGGAGTAGTTAATGGTCTTTCCTGGTGTTGGTAAGTAACACTGACTAATTGACCAGGGACAGCAGACAGCTAAAACTGCCTCAGAGCAACAGGTGGTCCCTGCTGAACTGAAGTCAGTTCAGAGGGAAGACGACGAGGATTCTACTGATAGTGGAATCGATCAGCGTAGTTAATGTGGCTGATAATTAAATGTAAGGAAGGACATATTGGAAGTATTTGTCTTTACTTTGCTGGCTGACTAACAGGCTTGAGGAGCTGGGTCTTATTCACTGGATAATAACTCTTAAACATCAGGAAGTCGAGATTTTCCATCTACGTCTCTTCATTACACAGGTAAGAAACATATTTATAGAATATATGCATTTAATTTTATTACAATGGAGAAATACTGCAGGAGGTAAACAGGTAAAATGTCTCACTTGAAATTACACCTGAAAATGACTTTCCACCAGTTTTCATGTATTTACAAGGCTGCTCTGTGCATGGAACTTTTTCTCCCCTGATATCATTCATTTCAATAAGCACCAATTTTTCAATTAATGACTGTTTACAATGGGGCTATAACTGTTTTGAAGACTTCAAGTATCAGTTATTTTCATTATAAAATTAACAGATTGTTCTATAAAGTGTAAGAAAATAGTGAAAAATTCCAATCACAACTTTCAAGAGCCTAAGGTGATGTCTTTAAATCTCTAATTTTGTCTTATCAGCAGTCTAAAACCCAAAGATATTCAGTTTACTGTAATACAAGACTAAGAAAACTAGAAAATATTAACATCTGAGAAGCTGGAACCAGTGAACTTTTACTGCTATTGCTTAAAAAGTTCTTAATTTAATTGTTCAGTCAGTACTGAGGTGTAAAACTCATCTGTTTGCGTTTTACACACATTAAATATAAACTGTAATCTCTTAACTTTCGATACTGAGGATGAAAACATAAATCTCAGGATGTTTCAAAGCTTAAACTGATGAATAATTGATAGCGGGTGTTTGGTCTCCAAGGTGAGCAACGGCACTCATCGTGCCTTCAGACGACGCAGCAAGCTGTTTCTGATGCCTCATCCACTCTGTTTGTGCTCCTTAACAAACAGCTCCTTTATGAGATTAAGAGATTTCTGTAGCACGCTGACATGGACGAAATTTAGAGAACATAGGATGTGTAACCTCCAGCTAATCTTGTCTTTATGAGAAAGGAGGGATCAGGCTCTTAGACTGTTGCAGCCAAGAGAGGTTAAAGGGGCACTGACACAAACAGCAGGATTGAGGAGTAGCTCAGAAACAGAAAAGAGATCGACACCACCCTCCATCCTTTCTTTAAATGCAGAGAAGGAGCCAGGATGATTATTATATACTCTGCAAACACAGACAACACTCTAAATACAATCCAATACAACAGTCTTGTAATAAATATTATCCTCAACAGACTTCTGAGATGTTTAATTGTCTGACACTGTCAGATGTAGATTAAATCATTATATTCTAAAAGTGTTACTGTTTTTATCCATCTTCTGAATGAGTACAGAAAGATTTCTTTTTCAACATTAAGTGAGTTAGAAGCTCTTTGACTGCAAAAATGAAAAGAATTTATTAGAGCTACAACAAACACTTATTTTTCATTATTGTGTTGCCTGACCAACACTCCAAGCTATTCAATTTACAAAGAAAAACAAAGAAAAATCCTCACATTTGAGGAGCTGGAACCAGAGAATGGTTGAAGTTTTTTCTTGAAAAATGACGTAAAAAATGAACCCACTATCAATATTATTACATTTTTTTTTAGATTAATTTCCTATCAATAGATTCATTATTTCAGATATTCATGTCTGATACTCACAAATCAGCAAAAGAGCATTTTATGTTCAACTTTGCACTCATGCTCATCAGAAGCTTCAATAAATATTAATATATATATATATATATGTATGAATTTTTTGCAGGCAAGATGCTTAAAACTCCTTTTTTGTGTGTGAATCTCTGGTTTTGTTTGGAAGTCCCGATGAAAGTAAAGTCAAACATTGCCTATTAGGATGATATATACCACACACATTCATAATAAAACACTAGAAAGGAATCTTGCAGCCTCCTCTGGCTGTAGTTTTATATTCAATATACTACATATCACAGTGCTCCCCATTCACTAACAGCATTACTAATCATTTGTCCTTGAAACGGATGGATCCTAAATTAATTAAATGGTTTGGCACACTGAATGCCTTAATTGGATTACTGCCTGTAATGCAATCTAACAAGATACCGTCATTTGCATCTGATTTGCAAGACAAACTGCCTGAAAAATACGTCCAGCTAATGTATATTGTAATTCTGTGAATGTTTTTGATGATTTTTATCGTTTGTGTCTTGGCTGCAAGGGTGAATCCTAATCTGGAAGAAGAGGACATCAAGAACAATCTGAACGTCCTAGTGACTGGCTGGTCTGATAACTTTCTTCTGAAAAAACAAAGCTCCATCTTGCCAAGTGTTCGGACTCCAGCAGGCCTTCAACCAGCCTCAGTATGGCAGGAGCCAACCCACTGATTCCAGTGCAAAACACACTCCACAGTCTGGTACATCCAACTACCCACTTATTACGTTAAAACATTTTATGACTGATTCTACTGTTTTGTTTACATTGCAACATGTCTTTTTTAAAAATGGATACCCCAAAAAAAAGTGTTTCTTACTGGGTTTTTTTTCACTAGAGCAGAGGTTTTCAAACTGTAATCTGAGGGAAAGTTTCAGGTGCTCTAAAAACGACAGGAAGTAAGTTATAATCTGACCTGCTGATTCGGCTCGCAATTTGTGCATTCCTTCTCAGAGCTATAACTCAGCCAAATATAAACACAGACATGATAGATATATTTTAGATTCAGCACCTCAGAGTCAGACAAGTAACAGAAAAACCCTGCTCTGGACTATACCATCCTGCCTGCTCAGCAACTGAAAGCACACTCTCATATTCCAGCAGTCTGCTCCATATATGCACTGCCTGGTTCAGCAGCGTCAACAAATGCATCAGCACGCTCCTCAGCATGCCTTCGCTCCCATGCTGCACCAGTCCTCCACCATCCCACCAAACCTACCGACTATAATGGAAGCTCAGGACAGTAAAGTAAGAGGATGTGTGTCTATGCTGTATTGTTAACATTTAACTTAGAAGTGATTTTATTCAGAATGTTAACACTGACACCTGAATGTCATGTTATTTTCCCCAGTCATATTTCCACCTTCCCCAAGGAACAACAAGGCTGTCTTTTACCCCAGTCACTGCCTTTCACAGAGCAACACAGAAGCCCTTCAGGACAGTGAGTCCAAGATGCATCAGTTAAAACTGACACAGCTATTAAAACATAGGAACATAAAGTGAAACTAAAGTCTTACCCCCGTTTCCTCTATAAAAGTCATTGCTACATTGCTACTGATTAAACAACATTTATTGAATCAACATTTACAGTTGTTTGTTTGTTTGTTTTTTTCAGAAGCGAGGGAGATGGGGTGCTCTGCATGTGTGCATTGCATGGAAGATTTATTACCACAAACAACTCGAGGTAATGATGAAATGCATTTGAATTTCAGTCAAGTAAACAAGTAGATTCAGGAAGTATTTAGCCTTTTTTTCAAATTTTGTGTCTGAAATTAAAATAAGTCAGTTAAACTAGATTTTGATATTATTTATATAAAAAGCAGCCATAATGTGACAAATATATTTAAATTATGCTTCTGTTTTCATATTTTTTATTATTATTTATCTTGTCAATAAGACAAATAAAAGGTTTAGAGCCAGACATGACTATATAAGGTATTTCAGTTGACAGACAATATTTATAAGCTCAGTTTTAAGGAGTTACACATATAAGACAATTATTGTTGTACATTTCTGGAGTTCATGTGTGTAGAAAACTTTTATCTTTTATTTCAGATCTATTGTCATTTTGAGTTGGTTTTGATTTAATCCCGATTCCAAAACTAGTTTGTGCTTTACAAACTTTACTTGACGCATCATTTAACAGAAAATGCAGCAAAAACCGAACAGTCACCATCAAGAACCGACACCTGAGTATCCGTCTGCCGTCAGTCTGCCAGACTCAGTACAACACCAGCAATCAGAGCAGCCCTCCTGCATGCATCCAAATCAAGGTGAGTTTAAGGCCAGCAATGTAAGAAATACCTTAAGCAACAGGATGATGTGTGTCATATTATCAAAGCTGATCTGCTTCTCACTTTGTAGACTCTCCGTGTGGACGGCCTGCACATACAAACACCGGTGAAAGGAGTGAAACAGGAAAAACCTCTGACCTTTCCCCATCTTCACCAGCGTCTTGCCACAGCCATACGACCAAGAGGGAGAAACTGGAACAACCTCCGAACCTGCACTGGAGAGAGAGACTTGATGAGGAGGAGAAACACAGGGACCACCACACTGACACCACACAGGGTTCGCCTCTCAGAGACAAATCTTGGGATGGAGCAGTGACTCCTGAACATGACGGCAGACATGGCGGCTCACTTGACAGGAAAAGGCAGCTTGAGTGTGACAGCTTCATTAAAGTGAAGAGGGTGAAGCAGGAGATTGTAGACGACCAGTTTGACCCTTCTAAGGCTTTGCACACTGATCCATCTCCATTCAGTACAACTCATACACGTCCGTCTTCAAGCACCATACCAGTGCCACATATAAACATAGGTCATTTTTCTGTCTTGTATCCTAACAGCAGTAGATGTTATGTTACCGGCACTCCTGGGGGACTTATCTCTTATCCAGAAGCTGAAATGTATCCCTACCCAACTGCTTCATGGGAGCCAACGTGGGTCATACACAAAAGAAAGGATCTCCACTCTAGACAAAATGACTATTCACTGAATACCTGCAAAGGGATCAGGATACCTCTTGTAGGACAGAGGCAAAAAGAAGCTTTTCCCGATTTCTTTATGCCACCTCTTTATCATCCTCTTTCTTCAAGGAAGCAGGAGACTGCTTACCTTACAGGGAGGGAGTTTCTACACTCATGTCACGAAAACTGTCATCTCCACCACTGCAGACAGCAACTCCCTCATCCTGGCTTTCTGGCAACATCCTACCTGGGACAATGAGTCCCCTGAGTCGGTCTGACAAAGAAGTAGAGCATCTATTCCTATAACAACAACAACAACAACAACAATCACTCATTTACAGTATGCCTGCTCAGTTCATTGGTCATTCTGTTCTGTGCATTAATTCAGTGGGTCTCTGCATTGTCCTAGATATAAAAAAACAGTGAAAGTGAGAAGCTTTTGATTAATGTCTCAAGTATTATTAACAAGGACAGCTTTAATTAGGGAATAAAGATTCTTAATAAAGCATGGTGGTCTTGAATTGATTATGAGAACAATACAGTCATTCTTACACTGTAATCACTCCTTTGATTAAATATATTGAGATACATATGCTTGCACATTTTTTAGGTTAAGCTCAAAAATGATCATGGACAAGCCTACATAGATTCAGTGGGATATTAATTGGTCCAGTGGCATCAATGTTCATGTTTACGGGGAAAGAAAACATTTTAAAAAATGTTACCAAGCTAAATTCAGAGTCTACAGCCGTGCTAGTGGCTCTGTGAGGCTGCACTTTGGCACAATGATGCTTTGAGCTAAATGTTAACATCAACATCCTAACATTCTCACGATGACAATGCTAACATGCTGACCTTTGGCAGGTTTAAGGTTTATCATGTTCAGAATTTTAGTTTAGTGTGTTTGCTTGTTTACTTTTGCTTACTAGCATTAAATGCAAAATACACCAGGTTTTGTAGGTATGGAATTTTTTGACTTGGTGATGTCGCTAGATGAAAAGGAAATCCACCCTATAGTTGATGAGATCTTTCAGTCTGGACCAAAGTGGTGGACGAACCAACCTATCAACACTGCCCTTCCTACAGGGGAAAAAAAAAAAAAAAAAAAACACAACAAAAATTTACTTTTCTATAAAAATGTATTTAAAATATGTAACAATAAAATTAAGCAACATTCCAAGGCTACAATAAAAAATAATGTCCTCTTAAATCCTCTGTTGGAGAATATCATGGAATTATCACAGAAAATGGAACATGGTGTGTAAAGAACATCATTTCTTTGAACTTGCTTTGTAGTGCTGTTGCCTCATTCATGTAAAATTTGTCAGAAAGAGTCATCTACTGCATGTTTAACAGGCGATCTCATAAACACAAGACGTCACAAAGCTAAGCTGAGGCATTAGAGTTAGTAAGAGCTGCTATGGTGAATGTGTGGTCCCCTAGAACCAGTGTAGAGAGAACCATCTCAATGTATCATCACTACAAACACTGGAGAGCATGACAAGGCTTTGGCTAGAAAAAAATAGTTCCAGTATTATCTCCACTGAGAGCTCCACAGCCAAATATACTAAAAAAGACAAAAAAATGTCATTGCATAACAGCTACACGAGAGCCTACACTGGACATCTGTGATTTCACCCAGTGCAAATGTCAATCAAACCACGTCCATGCCAAGGCCCCTCGCAACCTCTGTCAGAGCCTGAACGGCTCCAGATGTCCCACTACCATCGCAGTCCTCCTGAGATAATCCTCCAGGCTCGTCCTCAATGTGAGGGATGGTGCTCATCACACAGTAGACCGGAGAGTCACTGCCTCTGGGGCTGGGCTGCGACGAAACGTCCTCACCTCCAGAGAACTCTGAGGAGTATGAGGAGGAGGAGCTGGAGGAGGGCGAGGAGGATCCTGCAGGAGAGCTTCGGCCGCTCTCTGGCGTGACTGCAGCCCTCTTGTTCCGGCTGCTGGTCCGAGGACTTTTCCGAAGGCTCTGTGGCTTTTTGGCCATGTTCTTCATGATCTCCTTGGTCACCTCAACAGTCTCAAATCGTACCATGTTTACTTTTAGGAAGCCATCTACATCCTTTCTGTATCTGTGGAGAAAACAGAAAATATTTTTTTACACTAATCACATCTCAAAAAGTATATCAGTCTGGGCTCCCTCATTAAAATTAATTACCTCCACTACATGAACACCAAGTATCTCTTTTTTCAGTCATTGCTTAGTTAAAGATTTCTTACAAGTAATATTCTCAACACATATTTATCCATCAACTCAAAACTCATAATAATTTTGGTTAGAAAGACAGTTTCAAGGATGCTATGAAGTTCTGTCCAAAATGGAGACACACAGGAATAACTCCAAAATATGTGAAAATGTAACCTGGTTACTGTAATTCTGCAACGGGGTCTGAATCAGATTACATCTGTACCCCCAACCCAAGTAGTGGTGAAATACACTGATTCCTGAGTGTCCATGTATGTTGGAGGGTTCAGGATGCAGGAAAGCATTTCATTACAGGGTCAACGTGTCTGAATTTCCTCAAATACTAAAATGTGCAGCATTAGTAACTCACCTATTTAGACTTTTAGAGGTGACTGTGTCACTTTTCTGGGTGGAATTATTTTGAATATGAGGATGTATTGATGGGCGCAATGACCTCTCCTTTCATCCTACCACTATGCTGTCACAGTGGGTCTTGGCACTGTGTGTCAATATGTCCGATACCAAAGTGGACCTGAATAGACCTGCATACAAGGTATCAGGTGGAGTTTCTATGACTTTATCTTCATTTTTAGGACATAATTATTATCATCATTTTTACTATTATTATCATCATCACTATAATTACTATCATTATTATTAATATTATTATATACCTGGTCTTTTCCACCATGGCTGCTTGGTAAGTGATCAAATTCTTTGATAGTGCATCACACTGCTGCCTTTGTTTGTGTTCTCTCTCAGTTATGGTCTCTAAGGATCAACCACATTTTGGATCGAGTCTAAATATCTTCAGGTTTATTCGGGTCAGATCTTACTGTTCTCAGGTCTCTCTTTTGTAAAACAATAAATGTGTGCGCCTCAGGTTCAGATATTTTTTCCACAGGTCTCTTTTAGTGGGTCCAAAATGTTCGACCCATGTGTGACGGCATCTAGTTTACATAATCAGACTGGATGAAGCTGCCATGTAAATGCACTGAGCGCTCATTGGCCGCTATAACTTACCTAAAGCGTGAATGTCCAGAGGGCCATTTCAGCTCATGCTTTTTGCGAAGATGAAGTGTGAGAGTGTAACACCAGGAGAAGACCTTATCACAAATATGGCATTTATATTTGGACATCCCCCCGACCTGTTGGTCAAAAAAATCATGATTAATGTCAGTAACAGAGCATTATCTTAACTACTGAGGTTCACTTTATGTTGGTGCTAACAAACCTCGTGTACTCTCTTGAAGTGGTGGCTCATAGTTTGGAATGTGTGACAAGAGTAATCACAACCCTCCACAGTACAGTGATACACTGTGCCCTCATTGTGGACCTCTGTGTGCTTTTGTAGATCGCGTTGGTTCTTAAATCTTTAAAAACAAAAATTAAATAGATAAATAAGAATAATAATGTGACAACATTATTTTATGATGGTGATATGAGTCAATTACAGAAACATATCAAAGTTTATCGTTCTTAAATACCATTTTAAAGGTTACAGGTTATAATTACTGACAATATTTATTTACAGTTTTTCATAGATAGATTCTATACTGTCTACTCTCTCAGTACAAAGCTACTGTAATTAACACGTGGGGCCAGTGACATTCTCACTGTTTGGGTTAATAGCCCTAAGTGCTAGTTGTTGTTCCTTTTTGTTGTATTTGTTTGCATTTTTTGTAATATGGATTTTCCTCAAATCAAATTAGTTTAGAAATATACCAAAGACCCTTAAACACAAAGAGTTACTAAAAGGTCTTTCCATTGTTTGGTGATCCAATCAAAAGTGTGTCCATATGTAGCAGATATTATAGGGGCTATTTTGACTGAAAATATACAGTAAAAGGATCCAAAGAGCAAGTAAAATTCTAGGAGAAAGTGGCAGAGGATGGAGGAAACACTGATGGTAGTGAACATTAGTGTTACTGGCAACATTTCTTATAACTTCTCTTAAATATTTCCCTCTGTATAGGAAATTGCTACTCCTGTTTTGAAAAGTGCTATACAAATAAAATGCTTCACCAATAAAGTTTACTCATTTAAACATAGGTAATGAATGATAACCTTTATGATACAGCAGTTTAAAGAAACTTGATATCACAACTTTTAATACCAATTTTAGAGGACGACATAATTTAGAGGGGGCTGTACACAGCGTATAGCTGATGTCAACTGGATGTCTAGTCAACTGTTTTGAAGGTCTACCTTTTGTCACAGAAGTCACATGGGAATGGCCGCTCATCACAGTGGCGGAACCGGATGTGGATCTTCAGTGCTGCCAAAGTGGTGCAGGTCATGTCACAGAAGGGACACTTCACCTGATTCACTGGGAGTTAAATAAAAAGTTACAAAAGTAATAATTAGATGTGATACCTTTGTTATTTATTCTAAAATCCTATTTAATAAATATGAATAATTCCTTTATAATTTGAATAAGAGAACAGTCTAACTCCAGCCTAATGGTATGTCAGGGAACAATGTGCTGCAATGGAAAAGAATGTGAAATGAATGAAACTTCATACATTTAATACTTATAAATCAAAGAATGTTCTCCTTCAACTCCTTAAAGTGCTGAAATTTATGTTTAATAAGTGTCATTTACAGTTTTGTCACAACTCAGCAGGCTCCATCTGCTGAAGACCATCTGACATGGTTAAAAGCCCCAGAACGGCTACTAAATGGACCTTGAGATGAGACTGTTTTGTAAAGTACTGTTTCCAAAGTTAAGAATTAATTTTAAAACACAACCTCCTTCAGCAATTGAAAATAATAAGGCCATTATTGTCAAATTGTCAGGACAATCTGATCAAGACTGAAAATTTTACTATTTATGCTTTCCATCTACATTACCATGATAAAACACTGGAGTTACAACGCCTGGAACAGATAAAACAGTCCTTTATTAAATCTGACCAGTCCAACCCTAACAACTGTAAATCAATGTTAAAACTGTAAGAAACTGAAAGTTATTACCATGCTGACGAACGTGATCCCTCAAAAGTCTCTCACTGGAAAAAGCTTTGCCACAATGTTCACACACCAGCGACTCTGTTTGAATAAGTACATGTGCAGATATCAGCATCTATGCAAAACATTTAGAACATCAGCATCCTGGGAAAGTTTTACAAACCAATGTGTTCCTCTCACCCACTGGCTCGGCCTGCCTGTGGAGGTGGTCAAACAACTTTGTGTTGCTGGAGAACATGCTGCCACATGTAGGACAGGCTACAAGTCTCTCCTGAGTGTGGCTCCGCATGTGTTCTCTCAAACGATACCTGATCTTGAAGAAAGCGTCACAGCCTGTTACAGAGACAGGAAACATACATCACACAATGTGAGAGCAGGTAAATTTGGACAAACCAGGAACATCTCTTTAACCTCTTCTTATTCAGTCATACCTGTCCAATGGCAGAAGAGAGCCTGCTGCTGTTGTGAAAATGACTGTGGCTCAGCACTTTCAACATGATTGTCCACATGTCGGTAGAACCATTCAGGATTGTTAAATGTACTCTGTAGAAAGACAAAAATTTAATTTTATGATGATCAAGCTGAAAGCAATAATTTGATGATCAATGAATAACTTAAACAACAAATACCTACATCACAGTGCTCCCACTGGCAAACATATCCATCTGATCCTTCAGGAACCAGGTTGTTGCTGTGTAAGCCTTGGTTGCAGCTGGGCAGGTCAGGACGGGACTTGAGCAGCTGTGACCCGACAAACTTGAGCTTACCGTGGTAGTTGTGGAAGTAAGCGTGGACCTCCAGTTCCGCAGGACTACCCATAGATAGAAACTCACATCCGTTCCAGAGACAAGCATACTCATCTAAACAAAGAGAGGGAAGGAGTAATTACTGCAATGAAGAAAAGACGGTTATTACTGAATGTACACGGAGTGCGGATTTGGACTGAGCAGAGCTGGGCAGAAAACTAAAAGTCCCAAATTTTGACCAACCAAATGTAAGTGATGTCAGTGTATTTGATAAATTCCTTCAAACAGGCTCTAGTCTAGTCTTATATTCAGCTGACCAACACATACTGCAGCTCTTTACAAAACTTCAACCAGCTTTAGTTGGTAAAGAAAATAAGCATTTTGAATAACAATGGCTTTACTTGATATTGATGTTACTGTAGACATAACATTAAAAACAACACAGCAGAATGTGGCTTTTTGTCTTCTTTTCTTTCCCGCCCTTTAAACCTTCACACCAACTTCTGTTTTTACTAACAAGATATTATCGATCAGAAAATTAGCACTTTTGTTCTTTTTCATTGAGGAAAAAGACTTAAGGACGGTTCCAAGGTAATGCAGTTAACTTAAATAAAATAAAAATACCTTCTCTGCTTTTTTCTGCTAGTCAGACAGTGACCCCCATCAAGACCAGTTAACTGTCCATTATATTTCATTTGCAGGAATACTGATGTAGTAGCCGAAATATAGAGTTAACCTTTCTTTTTATTAAATCAAGTATAATATTGAGTCCGGAATTGCTTCTGAATCAAATTGAGATTATCAAAGATTTCCACCCTTTTGTCTGAACCACTGAACACCTTAAATAAATGTTTGTGCATCCATGCATTTTAAAAAATATTACTTAATTTGATGCTGCCCAGTCCTACAACTGACATATACTGACCTCTTGTGTTTGTTAGTGGTTGTTTAACATGTGCACCATGTACACAACTGTCCGCCTCACTTACCCAGCTCCTCCAGGGCATCTTTGTCTCCCAGGTAGTCCTTTAAATGCAGTGACATATGGTCACTCAGCTCCTCCATGGTGCGGCCCTTGAAGGTGCATGAAGCCCACTCACAAGCCACCTCAAAATTGTCTAGTCTCTTAGTCGTCATCATGGTGTCAAGTGATGTCCACTTTGTGTTCAGCTGCTGCAGCTGCACACAGACCCGATCCTGACCACCTGCCAGAGGAAAACACATAGTGATAGTAATTTCAACAGAGAGAGAAATAACCTGTGATCTTAACAGTTTAAGAAGCATTTCAACTGGTTTGCATATAATCTAGAGTTAGCTCTGGATAACTGAAAAGGGAAGGTTACATTACCTAGAAAACACTTACATACATTTCTGTTTCCAATTTAACTAGTTAGCTACGAAACCAGTAGCTAGCTCGAGCTAAATATGTCGTGTTTATATAAAAGCTAGTATTTTAGCTAACAGTCTAGCTACCGCTGAACATGTCACAGGTAACCAGTTTTTTTTTTTTTTTGACCTTTCCTACACAGCTTATTATCGTTTTTAACAATTTCACGTGAGAAATATTAATGGCATTTTTATGCGGAATTTGTAAATACACGCTAAAGTTTCCGACACGTGTGACACACGAAGTTTTGTAACAGTTTCTTACGAGTACTAGTGTCAGTCGCTGCAGCAGCCCTGTGCTCTGGGCTAACTCTCCTTCCCTCCTCTGAGCTTGTCTGATTTTGTTTATTTCCTTTCTGCGTCAACGGACGTTGTTTTTCTTCGTCTGTTATTCAAAACCACTGACAAGACAGCAAGAGAGCACAGCGCCACCTGCTGTAGGAGAGCCGTCCTACAAATTCAAAACTGGAACAAGTTTATCTCAGTGAAAGAATACAAACTATTTCTCATTTTCAGAGAAAAAAGAGAAGCTGAAACATGTGTTGTTGTTGTTGTTGTTGTTGTTGTTGTTGTTGTTGTTGTTGTTGTTGTTGTTGTTGCCATCGTTGTTGTTGTTGTGTTATGCATCCTTGTTAAAGCTTTAATGCTGTTTGAAACCCACTTGTGAAACCTTTATTTTTTTTTTTTTAAATCAAACAAATGTTGGTTTCATCCTGAAGATCCAGGGAGATAACTGCAATATCATTTCATATTATTAGATAGTTAGTACTAATGCATCATTATTGTGAGCAGCATTTTATTGCTTAGTTAACTGAGGTCAAGCTAGTTTTAACTACTTTATATAGGCCTACAGTGTGGTAGTTTAATATAGTGGTTCCCAATCTAGGGGTTGGTTCCTTCCAAAGGGTCTTAAAATAAATCTGATGAGTCATTAGATGAGTAATCCGGCTGGAAAGAAAAAAAAAAGATTTCTTTGCAATGGCTAGTATTCAGATGTCCATGACATCCACAAAATCTGGACCCAGGCAGGAAGAGAGGTGATTTATGCCTGGAGGAACTACATATCCCATCCAGCCTGTGAACCCTTCAGACTCCCATATGAAGTGCAGGTTAAGGAGAAGGAAAAGTGAGCTATTAGCTTAGCTTTTTATCAAGGTTGGAATGATGCTGTGAGATTGTGCAATACATCCTGTCCACTAGAGGTCATAATTTGCTGGATACCACCACCCCACTATGCAATGTCTCGCCTGTCGAAGGAATACCATATTTTCAAGAGGGTGCATGTCTCCTAATGTGAAGTCGATACAACACAAATAAAGTCACACAATGTTGTACACTCATCTCAACAATGCAGGTGTTCAAAATAGCCATTTACTGTATGTTGTGGTGCACATTTTAATCTAAATTTCTTTCAGGTTTGTGCCTGCTGCAGACTCACAAACTGGGAACTCCTCTCCCACACTGCTTTTAATTGGCTGAACATGTCTACATAAATATTTTATGGCTGGACACCATTTTCATATAAACAGGTGAAGTGGCAGAAACAGTGACTTTGTTGAGAGAGTAACTGTCTGAGCTTTCACATGACAGAAATGAACACCCAAATCATATCACTATATTTCATACACAGTGAAACAAGTGTATTAAATCTCAATTCTACCATTTGAACACAACATAACAGGCTATATAGGTGAGGCGGAATCCAGCCAAAGTCTTTTAGAGAGGGGACAGAGCTTGGGCAGCTCCAGTGCCATCGCTGATCTCTTATTCAATATTTCATGTTGCTCTGCAAACATAAGAGCCCATAACAACTGAATTATTCATGCAGTTTCATGTCAGGATGACTGATTCACAGGAAAATGACCACCATTTCAGATTCATCTTTTGTTTTAAGATGAGGACAATTTGGGTCTATTAATTAATCTCTGAACTGTAAAAGAAAAAATATATATACAGCAATGGGCTGATGACATGTTATACTAATAAAAACACCCTTTAAATGGCTTTAGATGTTGCTGAGTTTTGAGGATTAAAACATCTGCAGGGCACAACATTCCTCCGCTATAAAAAACCTTACATGTTGTGTTTACTCTGGCCTTGAAGAGTGTTAAAACCCAGGCCTACAAAATGATTTAAGATTTTACAATCAAATAGAATTTAGAAATCATTTTGTGTGATTACTGTAATTTAGTCCATAAAGGTTTTAGTAGACATCTCTGAACCCTCTTTGTAATGTTTTTCATAACACACTGAATATCACAGTGAGCATGAGTTTGCATTTTGGGATTTAGTTATTGTTTGCCTCTATATATAAATGATGCTTGTAAGGAGGGAACAGCAGTTGAACTTGATTAGGCTTGATTAGTTAATGCCATATTATACTCACAAAAAAAACGTATATAACTATGTATAACTACGTTATTAGTTAAGTATCAGCCTACATTGTGATATTTTACTGGTGCAAATGAATATAAATTAAAGTTTAGGTTATAGCAAATATCCAGTTACAGCACTTATATGTTACACTTTGGGAACCATTTAGGTCAATTTAGCATTTTTAATAATGTATCTATACTGTGCCATCAAATCATGTATGTGTGTGTGTGTGTGTGTGTGTACATACATATATAATAAACCTATTTATTAATTCCCACATTTTCATGTTTGCAAAAAAAATATTTAGTCAGATTATGGGTGTGAAGGTAGAATAATGTTATTCAACAGATACTAGTGGCTAGGACACAAGGATGCAATAAGTCATAACACAGGATTCTGTATCATCATTTTAATCAGAGTTCATTCAGAGCAAGCTGAGAATACAAGCACAAAATCACAACATGTCTGCAGCGGTATGACATTGTCATATCATCATTTCACTCTGGTCTGACGCCACCCGCAGTGCAAACCAGACAGCATATATGATGAGAGATATAGCACCAGGGTGTTGGAGTGCATAGCAGCACTTCTTGTGGTTGGGTCAGACTTGATGCTAGCAGGCAGCAGGCTGTAGAGGTCACACACAAAAAAGTCTTTCATTCACGCACACACACATGCGTGCACGCATGCACACACACACACACACACGCACGCACGCACGCACGCACGCACGCACGCACGCACACACACACACACACACACGGAAGCTAAAACTGGAAGCAGACTCACGGTGGTTAGTGCTCGACTGGGCCCTCACACACTGTTGGCCACTGAGGGTATCATGGCAGACGACTTACTGTGTTTACAGGTGGAGAGAGGGATAGGGTGTGATGACATTTTAGTAAAAACGCCTCATGTCACGCTCACAATGAACAGATGTGGTTTGCGCATTTTCAGACAGCAGCATTTTAAAGAGCTGAACTTCAAGTCCTGGCCCATTCCTTGTCTTTCAACACCTGGAGAGATCAGCCCATTCATAGTGAAAATTATTGAGTAAATACAACAGGTTTTCAGGCCTATGTGCATCTCTTCTTTTTTTTTTTCTTATTTAGCACAATTACAGCGTCACAGCTCAGAGGAGAGGATGGAGCACAATGCCACAAAATACTGAGTCATTGTAAAAACTGCAGTATTCCTGTTAAATTAAAGGAGCGGATCTCCATTTAAATTGCAAGAAATATGTTTGTGGGTGAAACCATATTGCTGGTGTGTTTATTTTATAGCTTTAACAGCCACTAGACTATTTTATGATTTTTCTTACTGTATGTACCTTTTGGTGTGATCAGTCTATTACTACACATGCATTATATTTGAAAAGGTCTTACCCCTATACATTTATCTTTAATGGCTCGATTTACAAGCTAAAATGTGACTGTGACATACAGTATAGTCTGCTAAAATGTTGCTACTCAACCAAAAACGGGGTCTTGCATGCAAGCTTTAGCAATTATATTACAGGTCATTTGGTTTCTTAGCAACCAAACTGATGAAACCAGATATCATCCAGAACAATGAAATGAAAACCAGGACCATACAGCGGAGGCACTGTAACTAGGAACGCAACCGTAAAACTGTATTTTAACAAAACCTCTCATGTGATACAGTCTCAGAGAAAAAGCATCCCCTTGACATTTTCTACAATCATTTTAATATAGCTCTCAACTCCCATCCATTCAGACAATGGTAAAAATGTCCTTTCATACACATGTAGCATGTGTACAGATGGCTCTTTTTTGTAGTCTGATGTCAAACAGAACTCATATAAATAATGTGCAAATTATGTGCTCAATTAATAAGCGGTTCTGTGCACCAAAACACAAGCAATCACATATTTTCACACACTCACAAACACACATTCACACACACAGTATACAGTGAAAGTTATTTGCATTATCCTAAAAGCTCAACATCGGTGCCCATTCAAAGGTGAACAATATGTGACAGGACAGCAAAAACAACAGGTAAGGAAATAAACCAAAGGGAAGAGATTTGCCTAATTCGTCAAGTAACCTTTGATCACGCACATAAAAGTGTGGAGATGTAACTTCTACTGCTTTGCCTCAGCCAGTCTATTGCTGATCTCTTTGCTCTTCTTTGTGACAGCTCCCTCTGGTTTGGGTTCTGCGGCGGTCAAAGAAGGTTTCTTCTTGGCTGACTGGGAACTAGCAATCTGCTTCTCTTTTGCTTTTTTCACCATCTTTCCTGTTGTTGTTGTTGGTGTCTTTTTTGGTTTGGTGCGAGACACTGGTTTATCCACCTAAAAGAGAAGAGAGGTGCAAATACTGAGATTAAACTCTGTTTTAAAAAAGAAGTTTGTTAAACTTTTGACATTTTGGGAAAATACACTTATTCGCTTTTGTTGTTGTGAGCTAGATGAGAAGATTGATATCACTCTGATGTCTGTATGTTTAGTATCAAGCTAAAACCAGCAGCTAATTAGCTTAGCTTAGCATGGAAACAATGGGAAACAGCTAGCCTAGTTCTGACCAAAGGTTAAAAAAAAAGCTAAGATAATCAGCAGCTGGTGGTAGCTTCATATTTAACAATATGTATGAGAGTGGTATAAATGTTTTCATCTAATTCTTAGCAAGAAAGCAAACAAGCATATTTCCTTAAATGTCAAACTATTCCTTTAAATGTTTACTTAACTCATGGAGACTCTACAGCATGTCAAAGTCCTATTTCAACATGCAATACATACCCTTTTTTTATCCTGTTACTTAAAGTAATGACGGGCAAATGACACCATATGGTAAAGGTGATATTTGCATAATGTGGTTAGTGCAATGAAGACAAAAAAAAAAAAAAAACAGCACAAAAAGTGTATTTGTGCCTTTCCTTTTATAGAATAGTGGTTCATGCAGTTTTCCATTAAAATAAACTTTAAAGGAAAGTATAACATTCAAAGTA